ACCCCGGGGACCCCCATCTGAGGGACCTTAATTTGGAGATTCGGCAACTGGTAAATCAGCAAAAGCAGAAAAAGTGGGAGGAGCACTTGAAGGCCTGTAACTTCACATCATGTGTGAGTAAGCTCTGGTCAACCGTGAGGTCCCTGTCCAACGCAACGAAGCGTGATGACAGACTGGAAATCTCTTTCGAAGGTCGCGCTTCGTCAGACCCGAAGAAATGCGCAGCCTACTTTAGTAGGCAATTCACACTGCACCCTTCGGTAGACAAGGCCAAACGTCGAGTGACCAGGAGGCTGCACAAGCTGCCAAAAAACAGTGCACCACTTGTTTTCACCAGCTGTGAAGTGAAGGGGGCCATCGGGAAGGCGAAAGCCTCCAAAGCCCTTGGACCCGACGGAATCTGTATGCTGATGCTAAAACATTTAGGGCCTAAGGGAGTAGCTTATCTAACGGAGGTCCTCAACCTGTGCATGGCCACTCTCATCATTCTTTATCTATGGAAATCAGGGAGAGTGGTCCCACTGCTGAAACCGGTTAAGCCCGCCAACAAAGGAGACTCTTATAGCCCGATAACGCTCCTTTCCCCGGTCGCGAAAAGGCTTGAGGCCTTACTACTCCCATACTTCACTTGCCACCTGACCCCAGCTAAGCACCAGCACGGATTCCGTAAAGTGCACAGCACAACAACAGCACTTAACGCCATAAACACACAAATAACTCGTGGCCTAAATCGAAACCGCCCCTGTGAGAGAACGGTCCTAGTAGCGCTGGACTTGTCAAAGGCGTTTGACACCGTCTGCCATTCCACGCTACTAGAAGACATCGAGGCCTCCTCACTCCCACAGGGACTGAAGCGATGGTCGGCGAATTATATGAGTGGTCGACAGTCGTCAGTAATCTTCCGAGATCAAACCTCGAAAACAAGAAGGATTAAACAAGTGGTTCCACAAGGTGGTGTTCTCTCCCGCTCACTATTTAACTTCTACATCTCGAAACTTCCTCAACCACCTGAGGGAGTTTCCCTGATCTCATACGCTGACGATTGCTCGATTTTGGCGTCCGGGAATGGAATTGATGACCTCTGCTCAAAAGTGAACGACTATCTCTCCAGCCTTTCTCGCTTCTTCACTGCAAGGAGCCTAACACTCTCCCCAACGAAAGCAACGGCGACCCTCTTCACCACCTGGACGAAGGAGCTCAGGCTAGAGTTAGGTATACACGTCGATGGCACACCAATACCGACTGTAAACAACCCGAAAATCTTAGGGGTCACCTTCGATAGCCTGCTTTCCTACTCCACGCACACAACCGCAATTGTCAATAAAGTACAGAGCCGCAACAAGGTCCTCAAGTCGCTCGCCGGCAGCGCCGGTTTGGACGCCGGGGACTAGTTGGACGCAGTGGACCAAGCTACAGACTTGTCAGAACGCCGGGGGGAGATCCCCCCACATGCCAGCTCAATCCGACTCAACTAACACCCCTCTCCCTCTGGTCCGAACCCATCGAAACAGCTCGTTTCCTGGGCCTCCCGTTAGTTGAGCCTGACGACAATGATTGAACGTAGACCCGAAAAAGGCGGGGCTTAGTAGTGCCGCTACAACAAGAACAACAACATACATGAAATCCATCCCATAGTCGTGTAGAAAAATTGGAGCTACCGGGAACGTGGCACTTCCCATACAAACCTGATTTTTCATACTGCAAATCTCTGGAGGTGTTCATGGTAGAGTACTGAATCTTGGTATTGACGTATATATATTAAATCGATCGCATAGTCTTGGAAAAAAATTAGAGCTATTGGAAAAGGCGGCATGGCACCTCCCATACAAATCTAACTTTTCATACTGCATACCTCTGGAAATGTTCATGAAATAGTGATGGTATGGAGATATATGAAATCCATCCTCCCATACAAAACGAATATTCATACTGCATATATCTCGAAGTGTTCACAGTAGAGTGATGGAACTTGGTATTGGCGCATATGAAATCGATCGCATACTCTTGGGCCTATTAAAAAGGGGGCGTGCAACCTCCCTTTCAAACCAAATTTTTCATACTGCATATCTCTGGAAGTGTTTATGGTAGAGTATTGGAACTTGGTAAGGGGATATAAGAAATCCATGGCATGTTTTTGGAGAAAAATTGGACCTATCGGAAAGGGGGCGTGGCACCTCCTATACAAACCGAATATTTTATACTGCAAATTTCTGGAAGCGTCCATGGTAAAATTTTTGAGCTTGTTACGGAAATATATGACATCGATCACATACTCATGGGGAAAAATTTTAGTTATTAGAAAAGGGGTGTGGCACCTCCTATATAACGCGAATTTTTCATACCGTATACCTCTGGAAATGTTCATGGTAGAGTACTGGAAATAGGCGTGGAGATATATGAAATCGATCGTATACTGTTGGAGAAAAATTCGGACTGTTTGAAAAGGGGGCGTGGCACCTCCCATACAAACCGAATTTTTCATAATAAGTATTTCTGGAAATGTTAATGGTAGAGTACTGAAACTTGGTATTGAGTTATATGAAATCAATCACATCGTCATGAAGAAAAACTGGAGTTATTGGAAATGGGGCGTGACACCTTCTATACAAAATGAATTTTTGATACTGTATATCTCTGGAAATGTGCATGAAATAGTGATGGATCGTGGTATGGAGATATATGAAATCGGTCGCATAGTCTTGGATTAAAATTGTAGCTAGTGGAAAAAAAGGACGTGGTCCAAATATTTCATACTGCATATTTCTGGAAGCGTCCATGGTAAAATGTTTGGACTTGGTACGGAAATATATGAAATCAATCAGATACTCATGGAGAAAAATTGGAGTTATTAGAAAATTTTTACTTTTACTTCCCTTTGAATGTGTTTATAATCCTTCTGTAGGTATATTTGTGAGTGAAATCCTAAATGGCTGGAGGGATTTCAGCAAAGTTTTGCGTGTGCGTTTGAGTTGGTCTGTAGATAGTTTAGTTTCACAATTTAATCCGCCAGTTTGCGCTGGAGTTAAAATATTACTAAAAAGCTTTTTTATGATCCGATTTGGCGAATATTCAAAACGTGTATTGGAAACGGTAAAGGCCGCCAGTTTGCGCTGGAGTTAAAATATTACTAAAAAGCTTTTTTATGATCCGATTTGGCGAATATTCAAAACGTGTATTGGAAACGGTAAAATCCGCCAGTTTGCGCTGGAGTTAAAATATTACTAAAAAGCTTTTTTATGATCCGATTTGGCGAATATTCAAAACGTGTATTGGAAACGGTAAAGGCCGCCAGTTTGCGCTGGAGTTAAAATATTACTAAAAAGCTTTTTTATGATCCGATTTGGCGAATATTCAAAACGTGTATTGGAAACGGTAAAATCCGCCAGTTTGCGCTGGAGTTAAAATATTACTAAAAAGCTTTTTTATGATCCGATTTGGCGAATATTCAAAACGTGTATTGGAAACGGTAAAGGCCGCCAGTTTGCGCTGGAGTTAAAATATTACTAAAAAGCTTTTTTATGATCCGATTTGGCGAATATTCAAAACGTGTATTGGAAACGGTAAAGGCAGTCCAATTGCAAAAAAAATAGCTGCCAGGTGTTG